TGAGTGTCTGAGTGTCATAACTGAGAAAAGTAATTCATAAACTTGTCAAACTAAGGAATTTACATTTAGGTACATGAGCAAAAAACCTGGCACAAATTTTATGGTGAAGTGATACCAATTAAGACATTCCTGATCTAAAACTATTAAGCGCCTTTAAGACAGATAAGATATTAGAACTTTGAACAAAAATATGTATTACTTTTAGATTTTTCCATTCAGACACTCAAGTTGAAAACTCCTGTTAATGTGATCTCCTAAGGCAAACTTTAAACATACGATAAAACTGGCATATTATTCTTGCAGAAACGGAACCAAAGGACGCAGGTTCGGAGAAGTCCACTGGTGTAGTACGTTTGAACACTGTGAGACAAATTATTGAACAGGTATATTTTTCCTTTTGTATCCTTTCCATTAGAATAATAGTAGTAGACCATATTACAAAAATATTGTTGTGTTTTTCTTCCCTTTCCTACAAGCATAAATTCAATATTGCCCTTTTCTTGTACAGGACAAACATGCTTTGTTGGATGTGACTCCGAAAGCTGTGGATCTGTTAAACTACACTCAGTGGTTCCCAATTGTAGTGTTTTTCAACCCAGACAGCAAACAAGGTGTGAAAGTTATGAGGCAAAGGCTAATTCCCACATCCAACAAGAGTGCACGGAAGCTTTATGATCAAGCAAATAAGTTGAAGAAGACGTGTTTCCATCTTTTTACAGGTGCCTAAAACCATCACTTATTTTCTGTGAAAGCATCTTTTGGTGTATAATGGTTATGTGATTGCTGTACAGGAAATGAATTCAACAATCAAACTCCAAACCTTATTGAATACACAAGTTTTTGGTAGATGATAATTCTGTTGGAATTAGGACAAAAAGCAATATTTTTATATGTATGAGATATGTATGAGATAATTTTAATAGTTTTGGAAAAATATTCTAATTATAGGAAAAGCAAAAATACTCTAATTAAAGGAAGGCTTAAGTAGTGGAATAAGCTAATCAGAGTTCCTAGCATTTCCCAGAAAGCTTGATTCAAATAGCTTAAATGTAAATCTGTGAGTTACAGTATTAAATGCATTAATAGATATATTCTGACTTTGCACGCAAAATATTGTTTGTTCTTCTAAGCTATATTTAAAAGACTTCAGTTGGGGAGGTTCTGAGAAAAATGTCTATTAGGATTGGTTATAAATTAGGAGTGTGAGAAGAAGAAATCAGTAGTAAAGTAGAAAAATAATTTATTTCAAATATGACAAAATGCTTCCTAAGTAGGAACAAAGCAAACAGGAAGGATAGTATAATAATTATTATCCATTCCTCATCACCAATATTCTCATTTTTACTTTGATATTGATAGAATGCTGTGCTATTGTTTTACTCTGCTTTTAAATATTAAGCATCCTCTCACAGATTTATAATAACTAGTGAGGTAGTTAGCAGATGGAGAAAAGCCATGATCTTGTATTGTTGAAAAACCATTAAAGTAAGATAATGAAATGTTTGGCAGTAATGGTTTGCTAATCCAATAATTCATTGTTTAAACATTTATGCAGCTTCCATTGATCTAAATTCAGCCAATGATGGTTGGTATGGCAGCCTTAAAGATGCTATTCAACAACAACAAAATGAAGCAGTATGGGTTTCAGAAGGAAAGGTATGTGCTCACATCCTTTTGGCTTATGCATGCATGTTCATCTGGAAAATGGACCAAGAGCCTCTATGAGAGGAAAGGCTTTCTGTGTATAGAGGAATTTCTTCGTTATATGCATAGAGAAATCTCTCCTTGTTCTTGAATTTAATGCAATAGTCATTGTGCCTAAATGTTGACATATTAAAAACTATCTGGCTAAGGTTTGGTAGTTAAAAACTTGGCATTCTGATCCTAATGGGCACTAAGACATTCATGGAAGCATATTCATGGGTCTTTCTCAGTATATTCACAGATCAATACAGGATCACCAAATTTCACTGACTTTCTTTGTTCAGATTGAAAATGCTGAAATCTTGTGGGATGCATCAGTGTCATTGGATTTTAGCCATTTGTTTACCTTTTGATTTTTAGGTAACAAGCTATTGCATCAAGTTGTGTTGATGCCTCAGAGGTTTGCCAGCCTCAAGTATATCCCTAATAAACGGTGTATGGCTATTCTTTCTAGCATGTGACTTTGCTTAAATATTATTATTCCATTTGCTATTTTGTTAAGTGTAACAGTTACCTAATATAAGTCCTTGACTTATGACCACAATTGAGCCCAAATTTTCATCATGTCGTTGTGGTCATAAGTCAAGTCACCACACGATTGGACTCCGTGTTACAGCCATTTTTAAAATGGTCATTAGGTTAGTAAATGAATCCCATGTTTCCAAGTCTGAATCCAGTGGGCGTTGGGAGGCTGCAATGAGTTGTAAATGCACACCAGTTGCCAGGCACCTGAATTTCAATCACAGAACTGCAAGGGTGATCCAGCAATCATGACGTCAAGGTTAAGTTGTAACTCTTTTGAATCCATTGTAACTTTGAATAGTCATTAAGCGATCAGTTGCAAGTTGAGGACTGCCTGTATTCTGACCCTCAAAAATCTTTTAACAAAACCCTCTGTTTTGCAGTTGGACGGAGTGGATGATGACATTGATGATCGTATGTCATATTTAACTGCCATGGGTGCCGACTATCTGAGCTGTGATAGTCGACTAATCAGTGATATGGAATCAGATGGGGAAGGTGGGGCTTACACAGATAATGAACTTGATGAGCCATACTACGAGCCAAGAGTTTCTTCTATCAGTCGATCCTCTGAACCTGTACACCATGAGGAGGTAAGAGGTTTCTTTTCTTCTTTCAGAACTTTATGTTGTAAATACTGTAATGAAGGAGGTCTGGAAAATAACTGGTGTCATTTTCAGATATTAATGAATGTTGTTTACATGTAATGTCTGGGATGCAAGAACTCGTGTGTCTTTTACTGTCAGTTGCAAAATTGTAATTTCTCTTCACATGAAGCCAGAACTATGTGAATATATGCATCATGGTTATTATTACTTGTTTGTAGAATCTAAGGAAATTTAGCCCTGAACCGAAAGCTCAGATGAGAAAAGCTGGGAGCAGGGAAATTCTGAGGGATCCCAGTCCACCCCCAGCCTTCAAGCCTGAACCTCCAAAGGTAATATGGAAAGAAATATCTCTACAGCTTATGAGAATTGTTAATGTTTCTTCATTAATTGCCAAAACATAGAACTATAAAAACTAAAGGAAAAAAGAAATGGGAATAGTCCAAGCCAGGTTTGTCCAANCCTGGCCCCATCTCTGCCTCCGACGCAGAGCACTTGTCAGAGCCTTCCCCAGACTCCAGGACTGGCCCATGTTCCTCCCCAACCTCATCACTGTTCGAATCTGCTGCCAGATCTGCTGGCAGGCCACAACACACAGATGGAGCTTCAGTCGTTTGTGCGGCCCGATTTCTGGTATGCCCCAAGTCTGCGACCAGGGCTTCGAAACCTCTGGCGTACAGCATCCCAATATTCAATTAAAACAGTTAAAAACACAGGCGTCCAGACTAAAAACAACAATAACAATTAAAAGAAAATGATAGAGGCTTCACAACGGACCAGCTGAATAAGAACATTGGATGGGTGCCATAAATTTTGTTTGTTTTGATGTGCTACAGGATTATGATTTTGCTGCAACTTTGGAAATTATTACAAATAGAAAAAGTATTCTATTTTGTGGAATTGCATACTTAACAAATAAAAGTTCAGCTATAGTGTATATTATCTTACACATTCTATATTTACTAGGAATAAAGACACAGATATTAATACTAATTATTTTATGTAAATTTCTGAATTTCTGAAATATTGTTTTGTAAGTACCCTGTTTCTCCAAAAATAAGACCTCCCCAGATAAGCCGAATCGGGCTTTTGAGCGCATGCATTAAAATAAGCTTTCCCCTGAAAATAAGTCCCGTCCCCCCTGAAAATATTGCAACACAACAGTAGCCATGAGGTGACCACGCTCGCCAATTCCTGCACCTCAAAAATAAGGCGAAGTGCTTATTTTGAGGTCAAAAGAAAATAAGACCCTCTCTTATTTTGGGGGAAACATGGTATTGAGGACTAAAGTAGAAGCAGATTCTAAGTTTTTATTTTTAATTTATATATATATAAATGCAGTTGTACATTCAAAACCAGCTACAAGAATATTTCTTCAGCCAACTCCTGAGGACCAAGCAATATATGGGTATGAGTTTTTAAATTATGACTATTATTTTGATTTCTTATAAACTTTGTTGCTTTAAATAATTGTAATAATGGGGAAAGTGTTTTATTAAATGTTAATACTTCTAGTCAGGTCAGGATGTTTCTAGTACGATTGAAACAAGTGATTCTTCAATCAGAACAGGAGTTTTAAACTTGAAAGAGGATTAGAGTGGAAGGAATATAAATGAAAAAAAAATCCTTTACAGAGATCTCTGATGTTCATGGAATCTGTTGAAACCATTCTCCCAGCTTAGGAGTCATAGCCCCAAGTCCTCCTGCCACTACTGGGTAGTGGGTAGTGGGTACTGGGTAGGAGTAGGACCACTCTTGGAACCAGCAGTGGGACCACTCCTGAGACTGCTTTGGCCTTTAGCTTCCACGTTTTCTCTACTTCCTCCTTCAGGCCACTTCTCCAGCTTCTCATACTCCTTTTTCCTATTGTTGCTGTGTTATTCAGCACTGCTATATCTATTACTTCTGCTGTCTTCTGGTCCTTGTCCACTATCACAGTGTCTAGTTGATTAGCCAGTACCTGTCTGCAGGGTTGTGATCCTACTGTTTTAGCAACCGGTTCGCTGAGCGTGCACTTTGCATTGCAATTTTTGAAATTATGTGCCTGCCATGCGCTGTGCTCACATGCACATTTGAAAGAAAAACAGCTGAAGCGTGGCAATCCACTCTGCCGCACCTACCAGCTGAGCTAAAAAATAAGGAAGTATAGGTGAGTATAGCCTGGAGGCAAACAGGCGGGCCAATCTGAAGGGCGGAGCAAATGGAGCAAAGGCAGCATTCTAACCATTACACTTTCCACTGGCTTGTGAATTCTGGGAATTGAAACCCATATGTCTTAAACTTGCTAAGGTTGAGAAACATTGCTATGGAAATCATTTATAGCCTATTATATTTTAACCTGAAATAAATAACACCCATTGTTTTTTTCTTTTAAGTCCTGACACAAAAATGGTGCAATTCAGGAAAGGAGAAAGTGTGGGTCTCCGGTTGGCTGGTGGGAATGATGTAGGAATATTTGTTGCGGGAATTCAAGAAGGGACCTCAGCAGAACAGGAAGGCCTACAGGAGGGAGATCAGATTCTTAAGGTTTGCATGCCTAATTATTTTCCATTTAAAATATAATTTTAAGCAACTTAACTGAAAACAATATCCCTGGTATTTATAATTATGAGAACATTTCTGAAATTGGCTTTTAGGAAATATGTTTAGTGATATGGCTGAGATAAATATTTATTTTATTTCTTCTTTCAATTTTTATGAAAGAATAAAAAATCCCCTTGTCACAAAAATTCCCTCGCCTTTCTCTGCTCTGTATTATAATTAACAGATCTGTCGATTAATGTCAGTATTTCTGTATGGCCTGACTTAAATGTAAGACCTTGTTTTTAAGGAAAGCATGGTGGATAACGTTGATAGTGATTTCCAATATTATAATGGAACATGTGAAATCACTCAAGTAAATCCCCTATTTTTCTGTAGGCTTTTTCAATCTTGTGCCTTACAAATGTAATTCTCATAACAATAAGTTGATATATCTGGTTACTGAAAGCTGCAGTAATGTAAAACATAAACCACTAAAAAGTATCTTATGGTTACCTAAAATTGCAGTATTAAAAAAAACCCTGAAGTAGATATTAAAGCTTGAGTATGGTTCCTTTTGCAACAGGTAAACAGTCAAGACTTCAGAGGTATTATCCGAGAGGATGCTGTTCTACACCTATTAGAAATTCCTAAAGGTGATATTGTGACAATTTTGGCTCAGAGCAAATATGATGGTATGTATAAATATGTAATTTGTAAAAGAAGAGCATGTTTCTAATGTGTTGTTTTATTTAATATATTTTCTTATTTCATCTTTTGTTCTGTTTATATCTACTGATGTTTATCTTATCTTATTCTTAGAAATGTTCATTACTTACAGTTACGTAAATTTTCTGATAAACATCCAAGTTTTTAAGATAGCTAAGAAGAACACTGTTTCTTTGTTAATTTGCATAGTGGTTAAAGTATTATTTACCTTAGTGCTCAAAAGAGATGTCTGCAATTTTTGAAAGTACAAAAATGTCCACTTTAAAAAATTTTTTATTATTCTGCAAACAAAAGTTAGCAAGATCTTTGTTTACCCTATTGGTATTATACATTATAGGAAACATCTGTTAATATATATGATTCTTTTTAAAATATGAGCCATTGGCAGTAAGATATAGCATATTTAAATTCAGAAATTGATTTCTGTGTAATGTATGGGGGAGGGGGATAGTGTCCTGTGTGAAAAGTGATATAAAAGCATTTTCTTTTCTTCTATATCTATGGCTCTTAGGTGTTTATTTGATGGAAACTAATAATAATAATTAGGGTCTTTCTTGCATCTCTTCCTCCCCCCGCCCCCCAGTTTATAGAGACATAATGGCTTGTGGTAGAGGGGATTCTTTCTTCATAAGGACCCACTTTGAATGTGAAAAAGAAACTCCACATAGCCTGGCTTTCAGCAGGGGCGATGTCTTTCGAGTGGTTGATACACTATATGATGGGAAGCTGGGCCATTGGTTGGCAGTGAGAATTGACAGTGAATTAGAAAAAGGGTTGATTCCGAATAAAAGCAGGTATGTTATTCTCCTGTAAATTCAACATGGGATACCTTACCTTTCATTCTGTCACACTACGATTATATCATAGTGAGTATACAAAATTATGTTATGCTACCTTATGTTATCAAGTTGATACTTGTTCTTAGTGATTGTATAGATAAAACATACATATTGTATAGATAAAGATTGTCCTTCAAACCTGGTCCTTCAAGTCTCTCGGTGGTGCATCCATTGTTACTCAAGGATCTGGGTCCTTATATAACATATCCAAAATACGATAATCTAACCTGAAAATTTATTCCTTGAGTGATCAATCCCTGGATTGATTTGTTCTATGAACATTTGTTTTCTAGGCTAATCGTAGTATTCTCAGGAACATTATGCAACATTAAATATTAAAAGCATCAATACTTTTTAATCCTGCTTCTTCAAATGCCAAATTTCTAATCCATGGACTTTGAGAGGAAAAACAAAGATTCTAGTTTTGGTAGCTATAGACAGTCATTGGATCAGAATAACTTGTCCAAGGCTTTCATTGCTACCCTACTAAAGGCTAGTCTGCAGTGTATTTCTTGATCATCCCACTGAAGCTTGATTTAGATCAGTTTCAATGTACAAATAGGTATAGGTAGAACTAGGACCTCCAGGGACAAGGACTAATTTTAGCCCTGTCCCAAGAAGGGCACACCTTTATCTGTTCCTATTCAAATAAATTGAGTAGATGGAGTAATGTAAGGGCGTAGGAATATAGGGGCGAGGAAAGCTCCTGTGGATTCTTATGAGAAGGCCTGAGCTCAAGAGATTGGCATTGCAGCCATCGGCACATATATGAAGATTCACTTTCTATATTCCTATGACTATGTTAAGTACTAAGTATTTGAATCTTTCTAAATCAGATTTTTTTCTTAAAACTTGAGAGATGAATTGCATTTGATCTTAGGTGTATTCCCATTGTTGACTTTTGAAAAACGGAGCAAATGTTCTCCCTTTCAGGGCTGAACAGTTGGCCAGTGTTCAAAATGCTCAGAGAGATGGTTCCAGTGATAGGGCTGACTTCTGGCGGATGCGTGGCCAGCGGTCAGGAATGAAAAAGAATCTGAAGAAGAGTCGAGAAGATCTAACAACAATCGCATCAGTTGGCACAAAATTTCCAGCCTATGAAAGGGTTATGCTCAGGGAAGGTGAGTGAAGGACAGCATTTAAGAACTGAGAACCAATATCCTTATTTATAAAAGATAGATACTTTATTTGAGGATGCAGAAGTGTTCAAAAAATATAATTCTTCAGTTTTATCTCTAGACCACAGGTAGGCCACTATGACAAGTTTATGACCTGAACTCCCAGAATTCTTCAGCCAACCATGGGCACCAAATAAATTACCCCTACCAGACATTTTGACTCTTAGATACTGTATATGGGAAAAGAGAACTTCCTTGATGGCTCCTAGGCATTGGGAAAGTGCCATTTCTCTTACCCCTTCTTATAACAAAAGTGATACAGTTTTGGAGTCCATACCATCTCAAATGACTTCATCAACAGTTCAGTTTGTGTTGAAACCTGGCTTACAAATTGCTTGCTTTTTATTGGATGTCAGCCACTTCTAGTTAATTTCTTTTTAATTCCTGTAGGAAGTTAATCTTAATGACTGTAAACTTTCCCCTTTGTAAAGAGGAAAATTATAGGTAGGTATTAGGTTTACAGACAATAGATGTTAGCCAATTATGTTCCCCTGTTGAAATTACTTTCACCAAGACAATGGAGGAGGGCAATTCTGCTTTCCTCTCCTGCCACTGTATACTGTGAAAATTGTTTCAATAATCTTGGGGAATCCTGTAGAACAATGGGTATGTAATGAGTAGCAAGATGAAAAAGAGAAAGATAATGTCATATGAGCAGAATTCATTGATGCGGCACTGGACTTTTCCCTCTAATGACAATAAACCTTAAATGATTAACATTTCCCTTTGATCCTATAATCATGGTAACAAACTACCTATGTTTTCTTTGCAGCTGGTTTTAGGCGACCAGTGGTGATATTTGGTCCCATTGCAGACATCGCGATGGAGAAGTTGCATAATGAGTTGCCAGGGCTATATCAGCCTGCCAGTGAGTGACTTCATGCTTGTTATTAATTGAACAACAAAAATAATACATCAGATAATTATAAAGTGATGGCAATGAAACAGATGAATAAAAAAAATGTCTTAAACTATCTCTTACCCCAAATACTTTAAGAATGTACAGTTTCAAAGAACTTCTTGGAACTCGGCTATGAAATTGGTAAAAAATAGCGTGGGAAGTTAAAAATATAAGAAGGGAATGACCAACTGCTTTTTGGGCATTCTTGACAAACCAATGCCAAGAAAACTGCATGAGTCTGTCCAAGAGTAAGTCAACAGCTGAATTTGAACAAAAGTTAAACAGGTTTTATTTTTAATGGCTCATTACCTCAACATTGTAAAACCCAAGTGAATGATCTTTTGGATAGAAAGTTATTACAGTAGAGGCCCAACTTTTTATTTTCTTCCTGGTGTTTTCACACAAGTTACTCAGTCAGTTTTCATTCTTAAGGCATGTCTAGAACTTACAGTCTCCTAGTGTATAGTCTGGTATTTTAGACCAATGGTTCCCAATGTGGGGCCCACACTGCAAAGGGGGGGGGTAATTTGATTTTTAATGGGGGCAATTTGAACCTTGTTTAAATCAAGTTAATGGCCTTTTAGGCTTCTTCTGTGTGAGTAGAGTTCACTTTTTGAGTAAACTAAGAATTATATGGGGGGATATCAGGATTTTAAAGATGCTTAGGTAGGGCATGGCCAAAAAAAGGTTGAGAGCCACTGCATTACACTAAACTCAATCATAGTAAAGTCATAACTGAGAAAAGTAATTCATAAACTTGTCAAACTAAGGAATTTACATTTAGGTACATGAGCAAAAAACCTGGCACAAATTTTATGGTGAAGTGATACCAATTAAGACATTCCTGATCTAAAACTATTACCGTATTTTCACCCATATAACCCGCCCACGCAAATAACCCGCCCACGCAAAT